TGGGATGGGAAATATCAGTGTGAACTCATGGATCTCTCTCTATATATATAAAGAAATAAACATCAATGTAAACAAGTGTATGTGTATGTTTTCCCTAGATCTGTCCCTAAGAGGTCCTCTGAGTAATGGCACCCCAGTTAGCAATGAACACTCAGATCTTGGCTTCCAAATATCATTTTCCACTGAGAGGGACAGGGCTCCTTGAAGAAATGGGTGATTTCAAAGGCTGGGGTGGAGAATATACAAGATGAACCTGGAACCCTGAAATATCTTGCGCCAGAAAGTAAATGCGTACTCACAGATTGATGGGAACACGTCAAAGAACATAGAAGTCAGATTGAAGGGGCTCCCACTGGCCAGAGTTAGGGCAACTTGTGGATAAAAATACATCATCATTCATAACAGATTATAACATTGAACATAGGATTCCATGAGTTTATATTGCTATAAATGAATGAATTGAAAGTTTGATGAGCTATAGTATATTTACATATACTCAAAATGCCTCCTAACAAAAAATACTTATTAATTACAAAGATAAAAAAGGTACTTTTGCAGTGGACATCATTTTAACCAAGTGTTCAAAGTGAACATCACCAAGATCCAGTGCAAGTAAGTAACACAAATCAGTTCTGAGATATTGTTGTTGATATTGGATGAACAGAATCCATCAAGCAGACACAAATCAAGGGACATTTTATAGAATAACTGAGTTACCTTCATAAGTGCCAGTTTTATGAAAGTCAAGACTAAAGGATTGTTCCAGATTGCAGGAGACTAAAGCAACATGACAATTAAATGCCATGTGTGATTCTGAACTGGATCTTTTTGCTCTAAAGGATATTTATTGAGACAACAGGTGAGACTTGGAAGGAATTGGGGGGGGGGGGGGGGGGGCAAAAAAAAGGGGGGTGTAGGGCAGAAGATGAAGTAAAATAGCTACAACTGAGAGAAGAGGAGGAAAGGTTAAAGAGAATTAGTCTGTTTAGAAGGGGGCGGGAGAGGAAATGAGATGCTGACATAGTTGACAAACTAAGGGTGGGCCTGGCAATGGATTTGGAGAAGTTGGCAAGTTAACAGAGAAAAGGCTTGGTGAGTGGGAAGATGAAGAAGAGAGTGGGGAAGAGAACTAATGTTTATTGAAGGCTCTCTATGTATTAAGTCCTAGGCTGGACATTTAAATCCCATTTAAACTTTTACATAAGTGTGTAAAATGACAGTTTGATCCGCATTTAATAAATGAATAAACCAAGGCTCAAAGAAGTTAAGTAACTAGCTCAAAGGAATATAGCTGGTAAGCAGACCAGGATTTAAAGCCCAGTGTCTGTGATTTCAGTGACAACGGGTAGTAAAGAAATGGTCTCATCAGGTCAGGAAAGGGAGAGAATTCAATTTTTTTCCCTCCGAGATTGGAAAGGGCTCAGAGACAGAGTGAGAAAATGATGGTGAGTGTTTGGAGGTTGGCAGTGTAACAAGGATTTGAATAATCTAAAGAAACGTGTTGTTGAAATCACAGGGAAATGGCAGAAAACATAAAGAAAGGGAAACATCGAGAAATGCCATCACTTGTAGGTTGAGAGAAAGTCAAACAGGAATTGGCTGAGGGTTGGGGGATATGGTAGGCCAACGTCTACAATGGCATCCAATGAACCCCACCCCCTCATATCTACACCTCTGTGTAATCCTCTCTCCTTGAGTCTGGATCTAGTGACTTATTTCTGATCCAAAGAATACAGCAAAATCGACAGGATCCCATTTCTGTGGTTAAGTTACAAAAAACTGTAATTTCCATCTTGTTAGCAGACTCTGACGGGTTGGTTTCAATGACACAAGCTGTCTTATTAGAGACCCTGAGTCAAAGCACTCGGATGGCCTCCCTCTAAAAGCCAGCAGGAAAGGAGTCCAATGCTCTTTAAGAAATGAAATCATACCGACCACCATGTCAATGAACTTGCAAGTCGATTCTGCCCCAGTTGAACCTTGATGGAGTCTTGTGAGAGACGCTGGGCCAGCACTGTGCCTGTGGCCTGTGAGAGACCTTTGGTGGGAGACCCAACTGAGATGCACCTGGATTCCTAATTCACAGAAACTGGAGAATAAATGTGTGTTGCGTGAGACCACTGCGTTTTGGGATGTAGTCCATTTCCATGATGCAAAGATTGCATACTTGCAAATCCGCCTGCCTGCTAAAATTTATTTGTAACCCTCAAATCAACATGGACTGCACCTTCATGGTCACTAGGGACATGCACTGAGCAGTGAAAAGGTTGAGTTGCTTGATGCACATGCTCCTAGATGAGGCGGAACAAGGTAAGGTTGTGCCTTCTTGTTTCACCTCTATGGTAGACACGTGTCCTTTTCATGGTCCATTTAGGGCCATGTTTGTTTGTTTTTAAATTTCTGTTGGTGCTTTCACTGTTTGAAATGGTATCCAAGCATAGAGCTGAAGTGCTCTCTAGTGTTCCCAAGCACAAGAAGGCTGTGATGTGCCTTATGGAGAAAATTATGTATCAGATGAGCTTCGTTCAGGCACGGGTTGGCTGTGATTTCAATGTTAATGAATCAACCATATATATTCAATAAGGTGTCTTTAAATAGAAGCACAGATAAACAGTGTTATGTATTGATCAGTGCATGGAAATGATGTGACCAGAGGCTGGCAGGAACCTAACCCTGCATTTCTTCTAGGAGCAATGGTTCAATATTTGCTCATTCAGAGATCTCGGTGGCTTTATAGGACGTAACTACCCCGAATAATGAGAATCGGCTGTAATTTGTTACGTAGCAATACAACAGATAGAGAATACGGGGGCAACAATAATTCAGTCCACAAATCGAAGGAGGAAAAGTGTTTGTGACATGATCAAGTATCACGGTTGCAGGTCTCTTACTAGGGGTAAGGTTAGAGAGGTAGTGGATCAGTTATTCATTAGCATCCATTATCTAAGTATCATTAAAATGGTTATATACTGAAAATCAATAATTTTGCAGGGCTAAGGACAGTTATTTTAGGTGAATGTGAAACTCGAGGAAAATTGGCCTCACAAAGCAATCTCTTTGCCCTATAAAGCCCACAGCTATGTGACGATTGATGTGTCAAAAGGCACCAGCTTAATTAAAAGCCCCATAACCAAACAGGGTGATGTAACCCAAGGCGAGCTTCTGGCAGCTGCAGCACGTGGACGCTGCCAACCCAGGGAAATGGTACAGCCACAGGAGAAGCTGGGAGGGGAATAGCCTCCTGGGGACCCAAAGTGCCTAACACGGCTTTTTTCATAATAGATGGCTGAGAAGTTCTGGCACCTATAGTTGAAAGTTTAAGGTATTTTCATTTTAGTTACTTTTAACTTTAGCCCATTTTGGTTTTTTTTAATCTCCAAACTTCATCTTGGATGCTCACTCCTACCCTTACTCCCTGCGCTCACTCTAATGAGTGTGCTAAGTCCTTAAACATGCATGGGTTTGGATAATATGTAGTATTGTGTGTGTGTGTGTGTGTGTGTGTGTGTGTGTAGAAAGAGAGAATACATAAATGGCACTACGCTATAAATATTGAGTTCTTTCTTACTTTTTCCACTCTGCCCTATGATTTAAGTGTTGCTCTATGAATGCATAGTTTGTTGTTCCTAAGAGCTGCGTAATATGCCATAATGTGTACCCACCATATCTCACCCATCCTTTCCCCTTAGTGCTAGGCACTCAGCCTGCCTCCAATTCCCACTCCCACAGTGACATAAAGGGAGCAGAACAATGTAGCAGTTTACCTTGTACTACCAGGCCCTTCATTCTCCTGTAATTACTTCTCTTGTCTGTCTTCCCATTGTTGAGTAGAGGATAATAACCACCAGAACTCATTCCTAGATCACAAGAATGTGCAATGTTTCACTCTTTTTGTTAATCCTCACCCTCATTGATTTTTATTTTTAAAAAAAGTTAAAAAAGGTATTTTTATTGATTTCACAGAGAAAGGGAGAGAGAGAGAATCATTGATAGACTGTCTCTTGCACAACCCCTACTGGGGACCGATCCCACAATCCAGGCATGTGCCCTGACCAGGAATCAAACCATGACCTCCTGGTTCATGGGTCGACTCTCAACCACTAAGCCATGCCAGCTGGGCTCCATTGGAGAGAGAAACATTGATGAGAGAGAAACACATTGATTGGTTGCCTCCTGCATGAGCCCTGACGAGGGCCTGAGCCAGGGAGGAGCCTGCAACCGAGGTACGTGCCCTTGACCAGAATTGAACCCGGGACCCTTTGGTCTGCAAGCCGATGCTCTATCCACTGAGCAAAACCGGCCAGAGCTGTAGAGCCACTTCTGATTTGGTTACTCTAATTTTCTGCTAAGCAGCTGTACAGGTTGATTTATTAATTTTTTTAAAATATATTTTATTGAGTTTTTACAGAGAGGAAGGGAGAGAGATAGAAAGTTGGAAACATCGATGAGACAGAAACATCGATCAGCTGCCTCCTGCACATCTCCTACTGGGGATGTGCCTGCAACCCAGGTACATGCCCTTGACCGGAATCGAACCCGGGACCTTTCAGTCTGCAGGCCGACGCTCTATCCACTGAGCCAAACCGGTTTCGGCTGATTTATTAATTTAAAAACACACCGCAGTGGTAATTTCCAACTCTGATTTTGCCTTAAGGTTCTAAAATTAAAAAAGCTACTTAATGCATTTTAATTTAAAATAAATATATGACATGAAAAGGCAAGGGACAGAAAAAGAAAGTGACAAAATCAAGTAACCATGTAACATAGAAACATTTCCAACGTGAGACGTGTCTCACCCAGAGATAAACACACATTTCGGAAGCTTCTGTCACTGAGGTATAGAAGACAAAAGTGAAAAGAATAAAATTTAGATAACAACAAAGCCAAAACTTATACTATCCTCAATACCAAGTGCCAAGCTGGAGTGATAACCAGATAAGGCTGCCCCACAGTGAGGTTAGAGGAAGATTCTCACCTTCTCAAAGAAAGAGAGCCATAACTTGTGGAATCAATTTTTATTTCTCAGTTATACAGAGAGTCTCTCTCTAAATATATAGTGTTGTTACATATTATTAATTCATACTATTTAAGGATAATTTATTTAATTATTTATCTAAACAAAGTCTAATATATACTTTACTCTGAGCAATCCAATACATGGTAGAAAACCTTTTAAATATATAAAATATTAATTTGTGCACACATAAATGTGTTTAAGGGAGCAAACTACGGAGGCATTGTGATTCAGATGAGCGCTGCAAACACAGTACCATAAATGAATACTTAAAATGGATCTTAATAACACAAAGGCTTGGAGTAGTGACTTCCTCACGCATTTTGGAGTATGTCTTAAAAGATAACCCCATGAATCATTGTATGGCTTCAATAGGAACTTCAGAGTTTTCTTCTACACCCAGCTATTGCCCTCACTCCTTGACAGTATCATCTGGGGGAGAATTTTTGTTCTTTCTCTTAATCAAGGAGCTAAGCAAAGAGCAGTTGCCACTTTGGGAAGTAAATATTTTTGCCCCTTGGTTCCCTTAACTACAAATCTGCAGAACAGTGCAAAACAGTTCCCAGAAGTCAGAACCAAAGCAAGAATGCTCAGAACGCAAGATCTAGATAGCTAATGATGTGAATGTTTACATCTGCATACCTATCTGCTTTAGGGATTAATCCTTCAGGATTCTTCTAGGATTCTATTTATTTGGATTGAATTTACATGGCGGCTTTTCTCTAGCACATGCAATGAAATTAATTTGTCTTTCTAAGATAATAAAGTAGCAAATGCTTAACTATCAGGATGGTTATACAGCCCATAGAACAGCCCAAATAAAATCACTGATTGGAAAAGATGCTTGTAATTTCCATGTAGGAAGGTTAAACTTCAAACAGAATGCCACCTGAGTAGTCTTCCATGAGAAGGCTGGACCAGTTCAAAGAAAATGTGAATGGTGAGATTGTTGCTACATCTGGCTGAATATAACAAAAGCCCTCTATCAACAACTCTGTGTCCGCAGGCTTCACCATTAAGCTGAACACTGGATTCTTCATTACTTCCTGTGGCTAGGGAGACCATGTAATTCATCTTCCAAAATGGGACATAACTGAGCAAAAGGAAGCATCATTAATAATTATGCCAGGGCAACAATGGTAAGTCGGCGGACAAACCGGAATATCGGGTCGCCGTACTTATGTCAACACTAAGTTCTGGGAGAGGCATACTTTGGGCTTCCAAAGGTGGCTCTGGGCTGTGAGAGAAGGCATGCTCTAGGGTTTTCCTATAAGCCAAGCCGATGTGATGAGGGAGAAGACCCCAAAGAGCACAGTTCAATAAGATACTCAGCTGAGAGAAACCCAGAGGGGAACACAGAACTATGGCTTATGGAGGTATGAGAACATATCTGGAAGGGACACCAACGTGAAGCAAATGACGTCAGTGAAATTCAGTCACCTGTGCAAAGTCCACTTCACAGCATTTCAAAGCTTATGATACCCAGGGCTCAGAGTGTCACGGACAGCTCTCCTGGATGTAGTTTCCACCTTAAGATTATGGAGGAACTCCATTCTCCACTTCATGTTTATTTTGCTAGCTAATTAGTAATAGGTGATGCTGGAGACTAAGAATAGTTCCCAGAGTGAGACCAGGGCCTCCGCAACACCTGCACACAGCCCCAAACCTTCTCAGCAGGCTTCAGCGAGGAGCATGTAAACACAGCCTTTTTCAGCTGGCCATGAACTTTTCTGCCAAACTTTATTTTTTAAGAGTAAGCTCATTTGAAGTCTTCCTTGTGCATTCTGTTAGAGAAACGAATATCTACATACAAATGGGGGGGAGGGGCAAAGGATGTATGTGCTGGAGCAGGGCTCAGTGAACTTTTCTGTAAAGATTGTAAATGTTTTGGGCCTTGTAGGATACAGGGTCCATTGCAACTACTCAACTCTACGGTTACAGTATGAGTGTAGCTGCAGAGAGTTCATAAATAAATCTGTGTGGCCGTGTTTCAGTAAAACATTATGCATGAACACTGAAAGTTGAATAATTTTCAAGTGTCATAAAAATAGTAAGAAAATGTTTTCAACCGAAAACGTGAAAACCAGTCTTAACTAGAAGGCCAGGTGAAAACAGGCGATGGCTACACTGGGAGGTAGTCATCTTCTGCAAGAGGCCCATAGATCCAAAATCACATTGGTATTTTAAAGGACATATAAAAATTATAAAAGAATATTTTGCAAATGATGGTGCATACTCATATTTAATTTTTAAACCTGTATCAGATTACAGTGTTTCAAAGCAGATTACTTTTTATAAGGTATGAGAGAAATTCAGATAACTGAATGGTACCAAACAATGAATTTCTAAGTGGGCCAGCTTACCCTCAAGTCCTTGGCACTTAAAGTAGAACATCTTGAATTAAGTTTATGACCTGAAGCACAGACAGTCACCAAAAATGTGGACAATGATCCTTGAGTTTCTCAATACAAAAGTCTTCAACATTTACTGGAAAAATGCTTTTTTAAAAAAAACCAAATTCACGGGAAACATGATGCCCAATTTGATCACTAAAATAAAATTGATGTGAACTAGAAAGCCTGGCTTCCCATTGAGAAGTTAGAGACAATTCATTCATGTGGACAAGAATCAAGCAAATACTTAGTTGTGGGTGGTTTCACTCATTTCTGGTTTCTGGCTGTGTTAAACAAGTTTAGGACTTTAAAAGTGGAGTTACATGGGGACAACATTTCCAGGGAGAGTTGAGCCCAGTGTATTTTAAACCTAAAACAATCACCACGGAGCTAATCTATGGAAGCAAATCCACTTATAATTAACAGTGAATTGAAGTTTCCTTATTGGTCAATACCAGTCTAAGAGATGAAATACCACTGTACCACGGGTAAACAAAATATGAAAATGGAAGGTCCTACTTTCTTGCTAAGGTTCAACTAAAATGTTTGAGGCACATAATTGGCAAAATAGGAAAACACACACAATTTCATAAAACATGTTAAGAGTAAACAAATTCCCTTACTGTTTTTCCCCTTAGAAACTTAGAATGGCTCCAGGTAGTGCAAAGGGGAAAAAAGTACCATCAGCCCTGTCTCTTCCAGGCAGATATGTCTCAACAGAACCACGAAGCAGAAAGGCATCCTCTTCTTCCTGCCACGGCCAACTAGGGCTTCTCTTTTAACTTCAGGTCAAGACTTGAAAAAAAAAAGGAAGAAAAAAATGAGAAACGGAGTGAGAAACAGTCAGCAATGATTGCGGGTGGCATGTGTTTGCTTCTTTTTTCTCAAAGGACTTACTGAAAACACATCATGCAAGTTTTTTACACTGAAAAATTTGGTAGAACAAAGGATGGAACCTGTTTATTTTTACAAAACTGTTTCTGGAAGCATTTTACACCTTTTGAAGTGATCGAAGGAGGCAAAAGACCCGTGTTAAGCCTTGTTCCTTAAATTGATTACTATGAAGAATGTTATTGCATTTTGGAAATAAGGGATCTACCGATTTTTAGTAAATGATTGTCCCTTGTGGGGCAAATACATGATCTGCCTGAAATAAGTAATATGTGATGAGTGACAGTCAGAAAGGATAAACAATAAAACAGCAATGGCAAATAAAAAACAAACAACACCCAACCCCAACATTTTCTAGTGCCAAAGGATTTGCCTGGAAGGGGTTAGCCTACTTTAATGAGATGGATTCTTATAACCTAAGATAAGCTTATTTTTAAGAATGTCTAGTGGGTTCCCAAATATCTAGAGAATAAGTCTAAAATGTCCTCGGGCCACTGTGTCTCTCTCTTGCCTCTGAGTGAACATGATGAGAAAAATAAGACATTTTTTGAAGGGAGACCAGTAGTCTGACTCTGTACCTAGTTAATCAGTATCCCTAATGCACATTCCTATTAGCCTATAGTCTAGTCCAGTGATGGCGAACCTATGACATGCGTGTCAGAGGTGACAC